GTAAACAAGGGTTAAAATGATTAAAATGAATAATTGATAATTTGAAATAGGAAAAAAAGTCCAAAGATGAAGGAGTGAAGGGAGGGGAAGGGGAAAGGAAAAGAGGGAAAGGAAAAACTATGAGAAAAGCAGAAAAAGTGGAAATGAAATCTATGTAAATAGGGAAGGGCAGAGGGGGTGAAAGGCGCACAGGTAATGGGAAAAAAAATAACCAAGATATATCATGCACAGGTACAAACACCCAATGATAAATGTAAACAAATTGTATACCTAAAATGTATCAATAAAAGAACTAAAAAAAAAATCTCTTCTAATGTATCACTGAATTCACAGTGTATAGAAAATACATTTGTGAACGGAATAGAATATTTTATAAAGCTTTAAGTAAAAGCAAAATAGTGCATAAAAGAGGCCTTTTATAACTTTAAGGTTTAAAAATCTTTTTGTTAATTTGAGGGAATAGAAGACTTTAGTAATGAAATTTTCTGTAAAATGTCTCATTAAACAACGTAACACTATATTCTACTTAGGCTATACATGTTTTATCTTCATTATTTCCAGAATAGAACATTATGTGTAATGTCCCTTACTATTTTTTTCTAGATTTAGGAAAGAATTCAGATTTCTTTTACTACTTTTATAATCTTTTTAGCTGATTGTGTTCGTGTGTTGAACAATCTTGGAAAAATAAAGAAGACAACAAAATCATTATGTGTCTTATAATCCTCTAGCAGCATTCATCCACTGATATATCTCATTGTGGTTCAGATGCACCTTCTGATGTCTAACAGTCAGGCAGACCAGAACAATTTACTAGTTTGTTAGCAGTCTTCACTTCTTCCCAGCAGGTAATGCCAGCGTATGCTTAGGGAGACAGCAAAAGGAAGGGATTGACGTTATAGAGAACTACAGTATACTGTTAGAGTAAGATATTATAACTGAGCTAAATTAAGGGGAGCTCTTATATTTTTAGCCCTCTTACAGTTGCAAATGCTAAAAGTACAATTATAGCTCACTTAAGCAGCAGAAAGAAAATTATTGTCAGGAATCTCTTAGTTGGCTTGCTTTGATCTACACTTTATTTATTCTCAGATTTGCTTTTTCCAGGTGATAACAAGATGGCTATCTCAGTGCCCAGGTCCTTATAAAAAGATAGTGCTTCTTTCCCACTATTTGCAGCAAAAGTCTTGAGAGCTTTCAGTATCCCAGTATGGGACAGTGCTGTCAGCTCCAGAGCAACCACATGGACTAAGAGTTGAGGAAAGAGATAGTTCCCCAACGGAAACACCAGGATGCCATTATCTAAAAATAAGGGAATCTATGCAGGGCAGGTAAAAAATAACACAGCCTATAATAACTTGTAAATAATGTAAAAGTAACATTAAAAAGAGGGGAAAGCTTGTGCTCTTTTATTGATGTTTGTTATGTCATAATTTCTTGCCAGGTAGGAGCAGCACTTAGACCAGCCTTCACTTCAGAGACGCCACCTGATGTCATTGCCAAAGCATGTCAGGTAAGTAGGTAAAAAGATGATGCTTAAGAAATGATCTTGAGAAACAATTCAGTTAGTGTTTGATACCAGTGTTCCACTTTATAGTTGACTTACTATCACTCTCAGCTTACTGTTTCCCTTTTTAAATATAATTTCCTCTTTTAGAGAACTGCATGGTAACCTAATATATGGATGAATCATAATTTATTTAAACAGTTCCGTACCTGTATTGATGGACGTTCAGGTTTTTTTGTCTTTTGCTATTACAAATAGTGCTTCTGTAGGTGATCTGCATAGGTCCTTTCACTGGAAACAGGTATATCTGTGAGATAAATTCTCCAGACTTGAATTGATGGGTTAAAGAGTATATTATAGGAATTTACTGATTTAAACTCCCACTAGCAGTGTATGCAAGGACCCATTTTCCTAAAGTCTGAGAAACACTGTAATTGTCAATTTTTAGTTTTTAATCTGGGCAATAAAGAGTTAAAATGACAGTTTCCGAGCACATGCAGATTGCCCGGGCTAGCCTGCTGCTCGCTTGGCTTGCCGAGTCCTACTACTCCATCCTACCTGCCCAGAGTTCACCTTGTCATTGCCTGGGCTGTCTTCCACCCGTCGGAAAATCGGAGAAGTTGTGTTCTCTCATGCCAAAGAGGAGATTTGACTTTGTGAGTTGGTTCCAAAACACTGAAGTACAAAGAAGAGACACTCTCAGAAAAGTAAAACATGACCAAAAGCAATGGGGAAGAGCCTAGGATGGGAGGCAGGATGGAGAGATTCCAGCAAAGAGTCCGTAAATGCACACTTTTGGCTAAGAAGAAAGTGCAGAACATCACAAAGGAGGATGTTAAAAGTTACCTGTTTTGGAATGCTTTTGTGCTGCTTACTGTCACCGCTGTCATTGTGGGTAAGTCCTTTGAAAAAAACAAATACAAACACAAACAACAACAACAAAAACCCTGTATCTTGTTTCTCTGGGGCATCTGGCTGCCTGACAACATTATTACATGGATTGATCATAGATATTCAAAATGATAGCCCAGGTTCTCCTTTGAATTTGTAGATTATTTTTTCCAGCAAAATTAGCTATTGACATGTTTGTAGCAATAGATGGTAAACACGTGAAAATCTGAAAGAAGCCTCACTCGGCATTATGTAAATCACTTGATTGTGAGGTGAGGGGAAAAAAATCAAACATTTTCCCTATTAGGAATAAAGGACTATTTTAATCATTAGGGATGAGCAGTTAAGTAACAACAGAAACAACCAAACATGCTAGATTTGGCCAACATCTAATCATTATACAGTGTCACTTTTACTTAAAACTAATTTATACAATTAGTACCCCCAAAATGAGATATGGTTCCTTAATAGTAATTATATTCTAATTGGTACTGATTTGGAGGTGAGCATCAGTGCTTAAACACATAAGCCATATCTTTTATGTTTTTCCATGCTCTCACCCAGTGGCTGGAAAAGAAAGGTAAATTGTAGTTCAAACTGGCCTTGAACTCACAGCAATCCTCCTGCCTCAGCCTCCAGAGTGCTGGGATAACAGGAATGCACCACCTTGGCCGAAACCCTCCTATATCTTTTTTTGAAACATTTCAGTCCCTTACTAATTTAGCAGGTTGACAACAATCTGTACTAATAAAACATTGTTTTCTTTAGTTTAAAAAAAAAAAAAGTTAAAATGATATCTCAGGAAAATTTAGATTGGTATTTCAAGTGAGGTTGAGCATTTTTTGATATCCTAAGAGCCAATATAATTCAGTCTTAATTGCTTTTCTTAGAGTGGATTGTCAAACACTCAATATCCAACCCTAGGTGATCTGACATAATTAAAAGTAGGACTGGTATGAATAAGTTAATTATAAACATAGTGTACCCACAACAAATGTAATCATTATGTAATGCAAACATGTACTAATAAAAATGAAATCTGGAGAGCATGACAAAGTGGATGCGGAGACTGAAGTGATGTGGTCTTGAGGTAGAAGCACAAAGGAACAAGAAATTGATTTTTCATGAGAGCCTCTAGTAGGAATTGGCCTTGCTGACATCTTGATTTTAGCCTGGTGACTAAGCCAGAAGACTTGGGTTTTTCGATGTCCATGAAATGCTGTATTAAATAGAAGTGGTAGAGAAGCTCAGCCGGTCCCAGCACCCAGAAGGAAGCTCCCTGCCTCCATCCCAGGCTCCTAGGGCAGTGAAGCTCAGCTGGTCCCAGCACCCAGAAGGAAGCTCCCTGCCTCCATCCCAGGCTCCTAGGGCAGAGAAGCTTAGCCGGTCCCAGCACCCGGAAGGAAGCTCGCCCTCCTCCATCCCAGGCTTCTAGGGCAGAGAAGCTGACCCGGTCCCAGCACCCTGAAGGAAGCTCCCTACCTCCATCCCAGGCTCCTAGGGCAGAGAAGCTGAGCCAGTCTCAGAACCCAGAAGGAAGCTCCCCCACTGCCATCCCAAGCTCCTAGGGCAGAGAAGGTGAGCCACGTGGGCACCAGAAGCATCCCCCCTGCCCCGTGGAAATGAGAAAACACATAAACAAGCCTCAGAAACAGACTTCCAGATCACCTACAGCA